GCTGGGTGTGGTAGCATGCGCCTGTAGTTCTAGCTACTTGGAAGGCTAAGACGGAAGGATTGCCGGAGCCCAACAGGTCAAGGCTGCGGTGGCCTGGAGTGGCCACTACACTCAGTCTGGGCCACAGAGTGAGAATCTAACTCAAAAAAATAAATAAATAAATAAAATAAAATTGACCAGATAGGCCGGGTGCAGTGCCTCATGCCTGTAATCCCAGAACTTTGGGCACGGAAGCAGGAGGACTGACTGAGCCCAAGGGTTTGATACCAGCCTGGGCAACTTGTTGAGACCTTGTCTCTACAATAAATAAATCTTTAAAATAATTTCAGCAGGATGTGGTTGCATACACCTGTAGTTCCAGCTACACATAAGGCTGATCTGACTCCAGCAGACTGCTGTAGACTCTAGACTCCTGTAGCCATGAGTGTGCCATTGTACTCCAGCCTAGGCAACAGAGTAAAATTCTGACCAAAAAAAAAATTGACAGGATAGAGACAAAGGAAGAGGCTGGGCCTCTGATAGTCCCAGGTTCCCTTACCTTATGAAAACATGTTGACTTCTCTTTGTGTGAGAAAAATCTCTAGTTATTTGAGCCACTATAGCCAGGCTCTCTGTTACTTGCAGCCAAATGCATCTCTAACTTATACCAAGAAAAAGAAGCCTATGCAGGACATGACAGTCCAGGGACTGCCCGATAAATAGCTTTTCTTTTCTTTTCTTTTTTTAAATAGAGATGGGATCTTGCTATGTTGCCCAGGCTGGTCTCAAATTTCTGGCCTCATGTGATCCTCCCACCTTGGCCTTCTAAAGTGCTAAGATTACAGTAGGTGTGAGCCACCATTCCAGTTGGGAAATGGTATTTCACAAGCATTTTTGAGGCTCTATTCTATAGCTGACATTGTGCTAAGTCAATGAAGCAAGGTTTCTACCCCCAAGGTGTTCACAGTCAATGTGAAAAGACCACCACGAAAGAATAAGATAAGAATAAGAAAAAGAAGAATGAGAATGAATAAGAATGAGAAGAGAAAGAACACTAACTAAGGTTAGGGAAGGATCTCAGGTGGTGACATATGAACAAGGCCTTAAAGGATGAATACAGTCCTGCCAGGAAGCAAAGAGGACAAAAAACTTTGTGCGTGTGTCCCTTCTCTCCCCTTCTGACCTGCTTGCCTGGATTTTCCTGCAGCTGTGGGACAGGGGCTGGCCCAGCTGGAGGTGTGTTGGAACAAGGGCCGCAGCAGAACCTCTCACTAGACAATAGAGAATTTCAAACCCCAGGCTGCTGGCAGAGCCAACTGCAGGGCACTCAAAGTCCAAAGAACCAGGAAGGAGGCTGGGAGGATTGGCAAGAACCCCTGATGGCAGTTCTAGGGAGCCAGAGATCCAGAGCTGGAAAACAAGAGCAAGAGGCTGGAGGGCACTCAGGAGGGCAGTGCAGTAGCCCAAGAGGACCGGGGTGGCTTCTCAAGCAGGTCAGAAACTCAGTGCACAAGCTCAGTGGGTCGATAACCAACTATTCCGTTCTCTTATCATTCAACTTCGTTTTCACTCTCAGCCCTCACCTATTGGGCCTGCGGAAACTCAATCTTAGTCCTTCCTGGGGCTTCCCAAGGCTGTGCTCAAATTCTGTTGTCTACCTTGGCCTACAGGGTCCTTCAGTCCCCTGTGCTGCTATTTCTGTGGTATAGGAACTCTGGTGTAGGTTCCCATCTCACTGATGTGTCATGGGCATTTCCAACAAGTGCCTAGCCGGGCTCAGTGGCTCAGCCTGTAATCCCGTGCCTTTGGAAGGCTGAGGTGAGTGAATTGCCTGAGCCTGCGGGTTCAAGACCCACCTGGGCAGCGAGACCTCATCTCTACAATAAATCAAAAAATCAGCCGGGCGTGGTAGCGCATGCCTGTAATTCCGGCTACTTGGAAGGCTTGAGGCGGAAGGATCGCCGGAGTCCAGCAGGTCAAGGCTGTGGTGGCTGGGAGCAGCCACTGCACTCCAGTCTGGGTGACAGAGTGAGACTCCAACTCAAAGAAAAAAAAAAAAAAACCAACAAGTGCCTGATGCATCCTCTGGTGCTTCCAGAAAGCAGAGCAGAGGTCCTTGCTGCTGGCAGGCTCCAGAGACCTCTCTTTCCTCTCCTCTGGCCCAATATCTCTTCTTGGTCTGGGGGAAATCCCTCCTTCTAGTACTATTTCCTTCAGAGACACTCACCTCAGGTTCAATTCATTCACCTCACTGGGCTTAGAACTTGGGAGATCTAAGCCGGGAAGGGAGGCATCTATGGCCAGTTCTACTGTTCACCTGCCCAGCCTCCCCTGAGACTAAGAGTAGAGCCTTTTGCAACGGGGAGAGGAGAAGGGGGAAATGCAGAGAGAAAACAAACTTTCAAACAATTACTGGGCCACATATTGACGGTGATGGTGTGGTTAAAGGACCAGGGACAAAACATATGCACTTCAGCAGGAATAAAAACAGAGTCAGGAAAGGGCTCCATCTGTTTGGAGAATGATGAGTCCCCAGGGAGTGAGAGGGGGAGGTTGGGGGAGACATAATGGGACAGCCTTAGATGACAGTTTGTGAGATTTGAATTTCATTCTATTGGCAACAGAAATCAGGAAAAGTCAATAAGCTATGTTGAGACACGATCTTGTTTTTTATTTCATTTAACTATTTTATTTTAATTTTGCTGAAACAGTGTATTACTCTGTCACTCAGGCTGGAGTGCAGTGGTTCTATCATTGCTCACTGCAGCCTTGAACTCCGGGGCTTAATGATTCTCCTGCCTCAGCCTCCCAATTAGTTGAGGCTACAAGTATGTGCCACCACATCCAGCGTTTTGTTTTGTAGTTTTTGAGAGCTTGTTTAGAGGTTCTAGCTACTAGTATGCCCTTGACTGAAGAACAGCCTTCCTCTAGTGGGGATGGTCGCCCTCTTTGTCCTAGCATGTAGCTTTGGGAGGGACAAACAGGGAGTGGTGAGGAAGGAAAGGGACACACACCCAGCCAACCGAATCAACTCTGGGGTGACAGATGTCACAGCTGGATTGTCCTCACATCCATTTTTTTTTGTAGAGGTGGGATCTTGCTATGTTTTTCTGACTAGTCTCAAACTCCTGGGCTCGAGTGATACTTCTGCTTCGGCCTTCCAAAGTGCTGGGATTACTGGCATGAGCCATCACGCCTGGCCTTGTTTTTATTTTCAAGGGAACAGCTTTGGCAGAAGGGTGGGAGGTTAAGTTGTGAAGAGTGTATGGTTGGTCATAGAAATAAGCCAAATGGGGGCTAATAAGAGTTTAAAACAGGAGTAGTGATAGAGATAGAAAAGTGCAGTCTTATTTCAGGGGTGAAGTCAATAGAATTTTTTTTTTTTTATTTTTTGAGTTGAGGTCTCATTCTGTCACCCAGGCTGAAGTGCAGTTGCACCATCATGGCTCACCGCAGTCTCGACCCCCTGTGCTCTGGCCATCCTTTCGCCTTAGTGTCTCAAGTAGCTGCGACTACAGTGCACATCACTATACTCGGCTAATTTTAAAAAAATTTTGTAGAGAAGAGGTCTTGCTATGTTGCCTAAGCCGGTTTCAGACTTCTGGGCTCAAGCAATCCTGCCACGTCAGTCTCCCAAAGTGCTGGAATTCCAGGCATGAGCCACCCCACCTGGCTAAGTCAATAGAATTTGGTTATCCATTGGCTCTAAGGGCATGATGGTGAATGACAGAGAGAAAGAGAAGTTGAAAAAGATTCCAAGATTCCTATCTTGGAAGACTAGGTAGTTAGTAAAATTATTTACCTGAAGGGGAGGAGACAGAAGACAGGGAACGGGGACAGGTGATGAAAAGGAGATAAAATGTGTTTAGCACTGGTTATATGCCGGACACTGCTTTATAGATATTTCTGTCATAAGAACCCTATGGGCCGGGCTCGGTGGCTCAGTTTGTAATCCCGAGCTTTGGGAGGTTGAGTTGAGTGGATTGCCTGAGCCCGAGGGTTCGAGATCTGCCTTGGCAGCTTGGTGAGACCTCATCTCTACAATGAATCAAAAAAATCAGCCGGGCATGGTAGCGCATGCCTGTAATTCCGGCTACTCCGAAGGCTGAGGCAGAAGGATCGCCGGAGCCCAGCAGGTCAAGGCTGCAGTG